TTTTTACTTTGGTACAAATATAAAAATATTTGAATGGATCGCTAAACGGTGATAACTCTGTACGGTAATAAAGGACACGGCCGGGAGGACTCACTAAACAATTCACTACGAAGTACAGATCGAAAAATTCTTAGATAGTACAACAAAAACTTAAAAGTTTATTAATTAAATTTTTTATTAAATTTATATTCAATTATTTTTTGTGAAATTACTCCACTAGTTTGTTATAATTATTAATACAAAGATACACTCAGAAAAAATTCTTTCGATCCGGTCGGATTCGAACCGACACGTCTTCTTGCATACCGTGCGCGCGTACGCTATACCAACTAAGGCACGGAACGAACCAACGGACCTCACGAATTATTCTATGTGCTTGCGTCGTGTCTTTGTACTTGGTCTTTCAACGACTTTTTAGTCGTAGCGCCATCGATGAGAAATCTATTATGAAAATTCCTTCGACATGCAAGAAGACGTCGGAATCCGACCGGATCGAAGGAATTTTTTCTGAGTGTTCGATCTTTGTATTAATAATTAAAAGTTTATTTTTGGTATATTAATTATGGGAACAAAAGTTGTTGTTTATGATGTTAGTAATATAGTGGAGAGGTTGTTTAGTATGTTACAAATAATCCTGTATATGGTTTATGAATATACTGACCTTGAGCCTTTTAATGTCTTTGTCGACGGCGCTGACGCGGTAGATCCCCCGCTCGGCCAAGCCGCGCTTTTCCACCTCGTTGACGCAGTGCACCAGCAGCGCCGGCACCATCGGCGGCGTCGATGGTGCGAAGTCCGCGATGGACCCCTCTTGCTGCAACATCGATCATACAGCATGTGATCATCTATTAACTTGAAATTGACATGTTACGAAAAGATTTTACAGCTCAAGCCCGCAGTGGGACCAATTTTTGAAAAAGAAGCAGATTGTAAACATTTTTCTTAAGACAAGAAATTACAGTAAAGGGAGAATTACATGATAATTTATTACTTTATAAAAGTTTTAGTTTATTATTTAATGCCTCTGCCTTCCAAAAGTTTTCTTGAAGCCTCTTTCAAACTTTTAATATAGAAAATTTTAATTTAATCTTTGATGAATACAATGAGTGACATAAAGGTAGTAAATATGCATGAGAATTTGGTTTCCCTGTACTAATTTCTTAAAGCTTGTTACCTGTTATGAAGGTGCGTAGAGAATGTGAAAGAACGCCAAATGTATGACATGTTGTTTAAAATATGTAAGATAATTCCTGTTGAAAAAATATTTGCTTTCCAAATATTACAAGAATATTTAAGTCAATGATATAAAGTACCAAAAAATTATAATTATCCAACAAGACAAGCAACTATGGGCAGCTATGAAACTGTTAAAACAAATAACATTTATGGTAAAAGAACTAAAGACAATTTAGTTCCAACATTATCTAACAGTATCCTAACACATAGGAATGAAACTATTTTTCCGGATTTAAATCGCGTATATTTGTTTTTTCAAACAAACCGACGTTTCGGGCCCTTTACAGGTCCCATGGTCACGGATGACTAAGGTGGTACAGTCTTCAACCAGTTATGTCTAATATTAATGCAAACCACCCTATTTTTTCACTATAGTTACAATAGTTATTAATTAAATACCTTATTTTTAATTTTACAAAGAAAACATTCCAATTTACGCTACATTAAGTTTTACAAATTATTTTATTGAATGAATTTTTATTAAGTTTAATTTATTATTAATTATTAATAGAAATTAGAATAAATTAAAACATATTAATTAGTACTGCAGTCTTATGTCTGTTTGGGATTTTTCATTAGAGGAAATACTGGATCCCAAACTGGTGGTACGGAGAAACCATCTTCCCTGTTGAAATTAGGATGTTTTTTAATTTCAATGGCCTCTCGCAGCATCCTGGGTAGATAACGGACTTCTTTTGCAAGGACCTGGGGTTTGTCAAACTTCATTGAATGTGTAGGTTTATCCATGACATGCTCGCAGACTGCAGACTTGTTTACGCGACGGTGTTTGACATCAGCTATATGTTCTTTGACGCGGGTACAAATACTTCGCTTTGTTTGTCCAATATAAGAGAGACCGCACTCACAGTCAAGCTTGTAAACTCCTGCATCCTGTAAGGGGATGTTACATTTCACGGGTCTCAGGAACTGAGAAATCTTCCTCAGGGGCTTGAAATAGGTCTTGATAGATGCGCGCCTGAGGACTCTTCCGATCTTGTCTGTAACACCTCTCACGTAAGGTAAGATGGCAGGTCTTCGCTCGACTGTTGGTGGTTTCACACGGGGTCTGCGGCATTGGCGTGGTATCCTCAACTTATTCGCATGTAGGACTTGCTTTATATGCTGAAGTTCCCCCGCCAGATGATTACTGTCGCAGACACCATATGCTCTCTGAAACAAAGATTTGCCCACGGTAGCTAACTGGCTAGGATGGTGATGGGAATTACCATTGAGGTACCTATCTGTATGGGTTTTCTTTCGAAATACAGTATGGCCTAAGGTGTTATTAGGATTTCTTTTAATTAAAACATCTAAGAAAGCTAAAGTACCACAATTCTCTTGTTCCATAGTAAATTGGATCTTAGTACTAAAAGAATTAAGATGGTCCAAGAAAGAAGGTATGCTATCTTTATGTAATATTGTGAAAGTATCATCAACGTACCGTTTGAAAATCTTCGGCCTAGCTGGGGCCATGGGTAAAACTCGCTCCTCGAAGTCTTCCATGAAAATATCAGCAACAACGGGAGATACCGGGGAGCCCATCGCTATACCGTCAATTTGTAGGTAGAATTCATTATTCCACAATAGATAGCCTGATGTTAGGCAGTGTTCTAATAATTCTGCATATTCAATGGACATATTATGTTCCCTTAGCTTCCTACGTACAATTTCAATGCAGTCTTTTACTGGTAGGTTGGTAAACAGCGACTGAACATCAAAACTGACCATGGTGTCATCATCAGTTAACCGTAGATCTTTGATTCCACTGATGAAATGGTATGAATCCTTCACATGTGTGGAAGTGTTCCCTCTCAATGGTGACAGTACCTTTGCCATGTGTTGAGCCAGTTTGTAGGTTGGTGTGTCAATCTGGCTAACTATGGGACGGAGTGGGGTGTCAGCCTTATGTATTTTTGGTAACCCATACAGTTTTGGTGGTTTCACGGTGGTTTCGGTTTGTTTGAAAAAACAAATATACGCGATTTAAATCCGGAAAAATAGTTTCATTCCTATGTGTAACAATCGCGAAAACCTAAGAACTCGATATCCCAACACACTTAAAAAATATTAAAGGTAGTATAAAGTCTGTTTTCTGTAATTGAAAAACTGTAATATTGATAACTGAATGTAAAGTTTAAATATGACTCTACATTAAGCGTAGAAACCGGTTACCTATCAGTAGTTTGAAATGTCATTGTCCAGAAACAACGTTCGCTCGAATTTTCATTACCTCGAAAGTGATTTTGAGAGGAACATGTTTTTTCTTTTAAACCTAACTTAACCTAACCGAATCTGATCGTGTCTTTGCGATAAAAATGTTGACGAAATGGCGCCTGGTGAAGAACGACGTACCTGTCCGGCGTGCGTCCGGCGCTGCGGGCCCGGCGGCACGCACGGCAGCGGCAGCAGCGCGCGGCACTCGGGGTGCGCCTGCGCGCGACACGTCTCGCACTTCACGCCCATCTTGGCGAACTTGATGCTGCACATTGTCATCATCAACGGTCGGAACAAGGTATTCCAGATACTTGCATATATAGCTACAAGGAGTGACATACACTAAAACCGTTGGTGTCTCGTAATGCGTTGAGGCAGGCGTACTTTGCACACTTCCACTCAACCATAACTTATGGTGTTATTCTGTGGGGCAATTCGACAGACGCTGGCAGGGTAATGCGTATACAAAAGCGAGCGTTACGAACTATGGTTGGCATAACCAAGAGGCAATCCTGCAAGGCGCTGTTTGGTGTACACCGAATAATGACCCACTACTCGCAATATGTTTTTGAGGTCATTATGTTCACGCGGAAACACTTAGCATAGTTTGGGCGAGTGGAGGTGATGGGTGGGTGCCTCAGTCGTGCATTTCCCGAAAAAAAACCCGCGGGTCATAGGATCGGCCTACTATGAGCACCTACCTGCCGTAGGAAACGTTCAGGTGCAGACTGAAGAACCTTTTATTGGAAAAGTCCCTTTACTCAGTAACAGAGTACACTCAAAGTACTTAATAAATAATTAAATTATTATATTTACTAATGAATTTGAGATTTCACTGTGTTATTATACTGTAATATACATTTATTAGTTATTAAGAATATATTTATTATTATTAGATTATATTGACATTTTCTGTATACTCTTGACATTGTTAGTTTCATTCAATTATTTATTAGTTTAATTAATTATGTTGATTTTGTATATGCACACTATTGTGTACTTATGACTTACTATCATATAATTATTTCTTCATTATTTTATAAACTGACGCTCACTTTTCGAAGAATAGTATAAAATGACATGTTTCATTACAGTAAACCTGCTGTTCTTCTGTCAGAATGAGATATATGAGTAGTTTTGTCCTACGATGCAGTAAAACCATTTCCGGAAATCCGGAATTAGAATTTGGTGGTTTTAACAACTCTATGTCATTCCTTGTAGTTATACATATACATGTATATATTTGGAATACATTTTTCCGACCAATGGTCATCATTCATCACCAACCCATTTATAGGTCCCACCGGGCAAGGAGTTTAGGCCGTGGTCATACTGCCACGCAAAGTTCCCCGGTTCGATTCCCGGGCCGGGAGAAACATTTGTGTGGCCTACATTTATTTCTCTCGTGAGTTTGTGTGTAATTTGTAGTTGTCTACATATGTATCCATAGCGAACGCGATTCAGGGTTTCCCTGTAGCGGGGCTATGAGTGCTTTAAAAAAAATAATGTGTTTACATTTGAAAATAGTTAAATGGTTTAAATTGACCTTCTACGAGTTTATTTATTGCTCTAAAACAATTTTAAGCTGAAAAACACTTATGATGAATTTTTATTTTCATCGCATACTAGCACTTTTAAAACGTTTGTGAGGGTTAAAAAAGCATAAAATTGTACTGACGTCTTGCCGCAGGGCCCGCATGTTTCTCTCTTGTAGAAGTTCTTGGCGACGAAGTTGTGCTGCCGAGGCCTCGTACGCGGCGAGCCCCCGTACGCCGCTGAGATCACCGACGGCGTACGCTGTGGAACGGCGCGGGGGGTCTCGGATCCACTCTCCGTGTCTACGAAGGTCATTTACTTTTTACATTGCAAAATCGTATGCAATTGCGTCATTCGCAAACTTATCGTTATCGTAATCAATATTAATGAAAAAAAAAACAGACTACTACATCAAATTACTCATCGCCAAGCTATTTTCATGAACAGTAGCCCAAATCAAAACATTTGACATTAACAGAGATCATGATAATAAAAGAAATTAAAAAATATATATAATGATTAATAATGAAATTAAGGAAATATTAAAAAACCACTCTGTACTTTCAGAGGGAGGTATTATTCACTCTGTGTGTATTTCTCAAAATTTCTGTATGCCTTTACCGATTTCGTAATATATAATGTAACTAATATAAAAAACAGTATTGATTAAGAGTATTCGTCGTTAATCATTTAACGACTACCACTAATTTTAAGCTTATTTGTTTATTTACCAAGTCTTGCCAGCTTATTATTATCTTATCTTATCTCAGCTTATGCTATAAAAGCATTTAAATGAAAAGTATGCAAACCATTATACATAGAGGTATTAATTTAGAGGCACAAAATCATTCTTACGAGACGGTAAAACCTTTTACTGTCCAGTGCGAGAATTTCGGTGGTTTTAATTTATAAGAGGATTAATAAAAATTATTCAACATTAGTTTCACGCAGAAAAAAGAAGGTAATAAATTTCGGTTAGCTGTAAATTTTTTACATATGTACTTTACATATGTATTTTTACATATGAATGTATGTATATCACGCCCTTTTCCCATCGAAGTAGGCAGAGACTACAAAATATTTCTTCCTCATTTCATTCCCTGTGAGAGAAGTATAATTCGGTTAAAACTTACCCGTGCGTGGCGGCGCCGTAGGTGTGGGCAACTCTTCCTTGGGCCGCGACATTCGCGCAGACGACGACTTACGCGGTGCGGGACCCTCGTCGCTGCTCTCAGATATCGGTTGCTGCACACAAACGAATTGATGCAAAAAGGCGAGAAAGTAGACTAGCAACTAAAAAAGAGGATTTTCGCCGCCGTTCGTTGAAAGGGCGCTTGTGATAAAAACTCAAAAAAAAAGAAAAAGAAAAGTGTGTTTCAAGAATAAAAATTTAAAAAATATCTACTTTTCTCTTGCGGTAACTTCTTAATATATCCGCCCAGGGAAACATATTCATTACAGGATAATATTTCTTACGGATTATTCGTATATCCGTCAAGTACTGCTGTGGCTCTAATGAAAAGGGGTAGAAATAAAAAACCCAACTTTACAAGGAGACGCGAAATCCAGTTAAAGCTTCATGATATTAAGCGTCAAGTGTTTTTCGCGTTTCCTTGTAAAGTTGGCATTTTTTAATTTTACCACTTTTCACTAGAGCTACAGAAGTAATCAATATTGTTCTATAATATATTGTTCTCAATATGTTTAAAAATAAAAACAGTAATTTCAAATTTAAGACACTTCCTTTAAAATGTCGATCATTGTACCATCACCCTAGGTAATATAAAGTGCTGAGACTCACGAAGTTGAGTGGCGGCTTGAGGTCGTGAGAGGTGGGCGCCCGTTCGAGCGTAAGCGTGGTGGTGGCCGTCGCCAGTACTTTGCCACCTTGCAGCTCCACCGTCTGCTGCTGCTGACGAATTTATATCTTATACAACCACTCTAACTACGTGGTCTTAAACTGGAGAATTCCCCTAGCATTTTTCAGAAGCAGTAGAGAGTAGAAAGAGTGCATCCAGGGAAGTACTACCATCTTACCTATTTCTGCCGCCAAGCAGTAATGTGAGCGTTACTGCGTTCCGGTTTTTGAAGGGTAAGATAGATAGACAATACACTTTATTGCTCACGCACAAAAAGAAAACAAATACTGTACATAGACAACTTAGAATTAATGTGGGCAAGGGCGGCCTTATCGCTGAAAGCGACAACCTTTGAGGCGGAGGAGAACTGAACAGAGAGGGAAACATAGTGTACCCGAGTAAGACTTAGGGTCGTATTCTAGAACTCTACTCAATGCTCAAGTCAGGATTGCACTGGAAACACAAGCACTGGAAATACGACCCTAATGGCAGGGACTTGAGTATGATTTCGAATACTTTAAGCCATACTCAAATCCTGACTTGAGCATTGAATAGAGTTCTAGAATACGACCCGTAGTGTGTAAGAGTGCTGGTGAAATTACAGGCACATGAGACTCCAACTTATGTCTCAGGGTAATGGGCGCAGAGGCGGTGCACCTCAGAACTTTGCGATTTAAAGCTCTGAGTGGCGTGTCGCTTGCCATCAGGCGCACGACTTGTTCGTTCCATCACTCATTACCATAAAAAAAAAAAAATTAACACTACTCAGAATACCAATAGGTGAAATTTCGTTTCTCAAATTGGTCCTACTGGGAACCGAACCCGGGACCTCCTCGTCTAGTCTGCCCAGTCTTAACCACTAGACCATCGAGGTCCTCAGCTTTACAGCACTCAGGGGACGTATCATTCCTTTACTGTGCGTCTGGCACATCCTGGGCGACAATCGGTAACTCACCTCACGTTACGTTGTTGGGCAAACATTTTATCATTTATATTGAAATTTCAATCAATGTGCTGCCATCTAGCGGTTAATCACTGAACGACGACGAATTGGAGTTATTAATTTAGTTATCCAAAAAAGAAGGGACTATATTGCGGGGGACAGTTTTACTTTCGATTCTTGTAACAAAAAAAATAATTTTGATAAACGGAAAATTTAAAATTTGTTAAAATAAAGACTTTCCGACGATATGAAATACAACCACAGGTAATATTTTTGGTGGGGCTATAATTTTTACACTCCAAAACAGCACAATAAGGCATTTTTCTACGATTTAACATACCATACAAATGGTAAACTGAGCTTAAACAGGTATTTCGAGACCAATAGTTGGTGCGCGTCGGATGGTAACTAACCACTTCTACTGTATTTATAGTTCTGTGAAAAAATCGACCTCAAAACTTCGTGGAATTACATCTATTTGCCAAGTGTTATTGAAATCGGTTACCGGAAATTGCGCGAAACCGGATTCCCTAGTTTCGTGACCTCTAAGAGTGACGAAACCTGGGGGATGGTAGAATTGTCTTCAAATTTAAATGGGACCAATACCGAGGTACCCCAAATCCATAAAAAAAAAATTATCAAAATCTGTTCACAAATGCCGAAGCAATCGCGTAACAAAAAAAAATACAGTCGAATTGAGAACCTCCTCCTTTTTTGAGTCGGTTAAAAAAGTACGAAATAATTAAATATGGACGCTTGATGAGGTTGAGGGTTCTCGGTAGGAACAATTTATGAAACGAACTAGTCTAAATTGATGCTGGGTATTCCGAGTAGCGTCCGCGTAATACAAGGATTTCCTTAATTTGAGACACTGTAATTGCTGTGGTTATCTGGTACATTATTATTATTCCGGTTATCTTTTATTAGACTCTCGCCGCTACTGTCGCCTAAAAGACAGGATTGGGATTTAAATGGCAGGGTTAAGGAATCAAGTTCAAGTACCGGTGAACAATACATGTGCTATCGACATGTTGAGCACCGCTTTGATGTGTTGCTAGAATAAAAACATAAACATCCAACCCAATAAAATTTTTATCCAGCCTCAAATTTCAATTTTGGTTTTAAGTTTATGTCATAAAAAAAGGACGTAAATATTTACAACAATCGTGAAAAATTAAACAAACACTGACGATATTAACTTTTTTCATAACATCAAATGGCGGAACGAATAAGTCGTCCGCCTGATAGTAAGCTACACGCCTGTCCATAACAGTTGCAGTGCAACTCAGAGCTTTAAATTGCAAAGATCTGAGGGGTACTACCACTGAGGCATAAGTTGACACAAGGAGCTCTACTGCTACTTATTTAGTAAACTTTAATTTACTAACGTATAACTCAAGTATTTAAGTCGAATGTTTGCTTGACATTAACAGTCGAGTCCAGCCACAGAATCTCATGAGGACTCGAAACGAGTGGTTCGAAACATGTCAAGCAAAATTTGACACACACTTTTTAGAACACACTAAAGCACCCATAATCCTATAAGTAAAGATTTTTAACTTTAATCCTTGTAACTAGATTTCATTTTAAAAATAAACAGTTACATTTTAATTTTTTTAATGAATTAAATAATTAAAATATGAATTATAATAACCGACCTTAGTAGCGGAGGAAGTAGACGAGCGTCTTTTCTTGTTAGCAGGCGCGCTGTCTCTTGCGTTCCAACCGCCGCGCTGTACCCAAGAGCGACGCGTCGAAGCCAGAGAGAAGTCCAGGTCGTCCTCTGACCGGGAATACGACATCTCCGAGAGGAGGGTCCCTGGAAGTAACTTTTATTTGTTAACCTGTATCATCTCCCTGCAGGGTACTAAACAGTAACTTTACTAATAATTGATAATCCATGTGCAAGTAATATTGAAGTTAGAGCTCTGGTACGATTGGCGGGAATAAAAAAAACGCGATAAATGTTTTGAATATCGAATGACCTTTAAAAAGTATATTTTTTTAGTTACACTCGTATGTTAGTTTACAGACAGTTCACAATATTATAAACTTCGATATAGAATGGAAACTTTAATTTGTATGCATTTATAGTCACGCGTTCAGGGTTCTGTTGCGACTGCCGCAACACTGTAGTGCGTCCGGATGTTCGCGGATGCGAGCATTGACGACTGGCTTCAGTGCTGGCAATGCGTAGGGTGCGCGCCAGCTGCCACAAGCTCTTGACAGTTGTTGCACACAGATGGGACAGTGGACTGCTAAGGCACTGGTCCTCTCTTCATCTAAGTTTACGTACTAACTTAGTCATTTAAGCTTTGTTGTAATGCTAAAATTTTTTATGGATCTTGTTGTAATCCGAAATAAATGAATTTTATTTTTTATTTGAAGTGTAAGTATAAATCAACACATGTCTACTTGAAAATATATAATAAGTAAAGTTAAGGTAATCAATCAACACATGTCTACTTGAAAATCATTATTGACTGATAAGCAATGATTCAAATAGCAACAATGAATGAATCCCAAATCATACAATGTTTAAAATAGAAGACTTCTTTAGTGAAACTAAAGCCTTTCTACGAAAACGAAAAATGGAGTGACATCTATAACGCTTATAATCAAGAAGCTGCCTTTGTTATAAATATTCTCTGTATTTGTTGTCATTTAAGTTAATTAAATAGCTACCAGGCTGTAATGGTGAACTAAATATGTTTCACGTGGATGGTTGTTGATTTTTACGCCATTTTTGGAGAGTCTAATATTCCTAAAATATTTAGGAGTTGGAAACCCAAATTTTATTATAATTTAGTTATGCAATTTTGTACCTGATGGTGTAACCCAGATTTATATGATATTTTTGTATGAAATAAATAAATTTATTCTCACCAGTTGAGTTAAGCTCAGGAACATTGGCAAGTTTGGCATTATGCTCCTGTGCAGTCCCATTCAAAAAGGCCAGCTTTTGCAGGGTCTCATCATTCAATTTGGCTCGGTTGTCATTGAAGAGGAGGTCTCTTGCCATATCCAGTAGTTTACTCTGAAACATGGATTATGGTTATTTGCTTACAATAATTAAGTACTTCTGAGTTTAAGAATGGAAGAAGAAAAAGAAGTATTTTATTGATGAATTAACAATGCCAGGACAGCCCCAAACAGTTTCAAATGCTGAACATTTAAGTTGTTGAAATACTCTTCTAGTATCAAGACTTAGTAAATTCCTAACTTCTAGAAGTGTCTAAAATTTGAAAGCACTTTTAACAAGCAATTTCATGCAAAGTCCTTTTTTTCTCTATCTTCTCATCAACATCATCTTCTAATGATTTTGGGTGAATATTTTTACTACACTATACTACTAAAACTAATCCCATCAGAAGTTTTAACACAGTACCATAATCTTTTTCTAACAAACTAAAAGCTAACACATTCTAAAATTTTAACAGACAAAATGTCTTTTTATGCTATGTACTCTATGTGCTCTTGACGAGCCAGTACAAGAAAACTATATTGATTCTAGGGCCTTACCATGAACTATTATTACGATTCAGTTTAGGACCTAAAATAAATCTTTGTGAGACAGCGCTACAAGAAGTGTATATCACCATCCCCTCTTTGTCATTGCGAACCTAAACTGAACTGTAATAAGAGTTCATAGTAAGGCCCCTGGTCCTGCAAACTTTATTTTATAATTCTGATATTCATAATACAGGCAATTTCCCAGTAAATTATAGCCCACTGACTTACTAAATTGATAATCTGCCTGGTCTTTAGAGTGAAACATCTGTCTATGTAAACATTTTGACTTTTTTAGTATAAGAAATTGAAATATACGGAACGACTTTGAAAATATTTACAATTAGGCAGCCTTTCATGTTACATTGTTCCACCATAAACAATTGTAGTGACTGTCTACCGCTAATATTACAATATTTCATCAGTCTCCTCACCAGCTCACTATATTTTTTAAGCACAACATTTCTCTCTCTCTTCTCGCTATCCAACAATTTCCGCACATGTGCAAACTTGGATTCCCACTTGCCGAGTGCGCGAAGTGCTTCATCCAGCTCCGTTTGAAGGCGAGCAGATTCCGCTTCTGCAGCTGCCCATTGACACCGCACCCATTCCATCTGCTTTACAAATGCTAGAAAACCTGAATAACAGATATTTCACATTATTTTTATACAAGCCAGCACATATTTACTTGCTGTATAAGATCAAGATTTACATACAAGTGTTACAGATCAACCCCGAGCCTGAAACAGATAAAATGAGTCTGCACTTCTCCAGGTACTGTTGCTCTCTAGTAACCTCAATTCATTCACTCTGTATCTAATATATGCCATAGGCATACCTGGCCTAGTACTCTCATCTCCATCTGAAACAATTACTGTGAAATAAGTAAAACTCAACCAAATTAAGAGAAGCATGATGCAAATGAAGCTTCATACTTCACATTGTCTTTTTAATTTAGTCAAGTATTACCTATTTGACAGTAATTATTTCAGACGGATGTTGGACGGAGAACAAGAGTAGATTCCCAGGTTAATACAATTGAAGTCAACACAATCCTATTCTTAAATAACGTTTGTCTTGGCTCTGAATCTAATTAATTACAATCACAGTTAAATACATTAATTATACACAGTTTTGAAAATCTGTACAGGCCAAGAATGAGCCACTCTACTAATACATATAATAATTAGTATTTTATGACATGATGCTTCTAACATAAGTGCAGAAATCAGAGTTGCGAGACATGCCACATATCATTTGCTGGTCCTTGAACCTGAGTCCTTAGCCCCGGGTGACTATAACTTTGCCAGAGAACACCACTTCTCCCATTTAAAAACTTAAAATTTACCTTTTAGAACATGAGAGATGCGAAAATCCAAACGATATACACAAAGTAATAATAACACAGGCCTTATTAAAAACTAGATATAAAAAATGGCAGTGGACATTACGAGAGCTTTATACGGCTTTAAATTTTGTTTGTCACTGTATGGTTCGTTATGAAGTACAGGTTAACATTAAACTGTACAGGTAGGTTGTGAGTCAAGAATTTTTGCCTGTACGATTCTACAAAGTCATTCGTACACTAATGATCGTCTGCTATAACACTAAAGATCTGAAAGACACGTCGTCGATATAAGTGACGCCGTCATATATGCATTTACAAAACAATTTGAAGGTAGATCGAAATCCAAGTTTACCTTTTTGTTATACATATAATAATAGTTATTTTGGCGTAACTAATAAAAATACTCACATTCTTCAGCAGCTCCGTCGTTTAACACTCCGTTCAATCGATTTATGTCGTCAAATTGGGCAACCAGGGAAAGGGCGATGCCGGTTCCAGTATCGGAGTTTTCCGAACTCATTTTTTTCCTTTTTGATTGGAAATAAACTCAAAGTAACACTTCTTTTTCTACTATTTGACGAAATATCACATTTCAAATTGAAATTACACGAAAAAGTATATTCTAAACACAAACGTAGTAAATCTTGAAAAATAACGGCTGAAATTCCAAATGCGACAGCCGGCAAATGTTAATACGTCCATGGCAAATGTCAAATTGTTGGAAACGGTTTTCAAGTGTCATTTATGACACCACTACCGTTTCCTAGCTATTGAGTTGGTGGTTTGTATGAAATAAGCGATGGTGTAAATCATGTGTTTTTTTTTTCTGAGTGCTGTGCGTTCAAAATTTTAACAAAAATCTCCTTTTGAAGGAATAGCGACATAGACAACAGAATAAACATCGGTTTGTTGAAGGTTGCAGTTTAATTTTAAAATAGGCTGTTTTATATTGTATCCACAAATTTCTAAAATATTAAATTGTCTGTTGCTATGATTCCAAGTCACATTGATAAAGATTCAGAAGTCACTAACTGTCGTTGCCAGATAATAAAATAATTTTCCTTTTAAAATGGGAAGCTTACAAAGGCCAAACAAAGGCTAAACTCATGAACTATTTTCAATATTTGTTAAAATGTAAATTGGCAAGGTCGAGTAACTAACTAATCAGGTATAAATAACAGCTATCTATCTGAGTATTGGATTTCTTAACATTCAATTATTTCTTTGCTTTTTCAGCAACATTCATTGCAACAATACAAAATATAATACAAGTAATATTTACGTATCACCGAGTATTACGTATCAACCATATTTAGTTGTTTCTTGAAATCTTCAATAATGTTGGGGTGAAGGTGCCTTGTGTGTTTAATTTTGTGTTTTGTTATCATCATCGTAAATAGTTTCTCCCAATTAAATTAACAATGGAAGTTCTTGTTTGTATTTACAAACTACTTCATCGAACACAAATTGTTGTATAGGTACGGTATAATATCACGATTATCAACCAGAGACCGTACCTAACGTCTGTTCTTCATTTCACTTCAGATTTTTAATTCTGTTATATCTGCAAAACGGCCCATTCGCTACCTGCTTGTCAGTCAACCGCGCAGGACAGGAAACTGCTCACTCACTATCCTGGGTATGGCCAACGTATGGCGTCTCGCAGGATGCCTTGCAGGATTGCAGAATGGCTTGCACGCTGCGACTACATTCATATTCTACATTATGCGGCGGACGGCAAGGCGGGCTGCAAAGCAGGATAATGAATGCCCCCTTTTAGCCACTTAGTCAAATAGGGTTTATGTGTAAATAAATTTGAACACCCGGTTATTGTAAACAATGGACTTAGCTTTAAACGTTCACTCGTTTTTGTCATACACGTAAACATTGAATTTAACTCTCAAGTGCCTGAGCGTGCTCATAACTCACACATTAATTGTTTAGGATTCAGGGGGGCTACTCTCGATCACCATCCGACATCCGTCCGAAACAATTATTGTCAAATCGATCGAGAGTAGACCCCTAGAACAGTTTCAAAGAAAATTAAGGTAAAGAGGAGTTTACAGCTGGCAACATTTTTACTTCATTTTGACATTGACAATTCGTTTTCTTGCTGTGCATGCTCATTTCTCATTGGTCGGGCGCTTGACAAAGCGGGATGACGTACGGCTGAGCGGTGGTCTCGTGTGCTTAGTTTTGGTCAAATATCTGTGAATTAATTATTGTTTCTCGTTCTACCGGTGCCGCAGCCCTCGCGCGTCGCCATGGCGGACGAGGAAAATAATTGTGATGATGGTGGTGAGTTGAAAGCGGGACAGGCGTTTCGCCTCCGAGGCCGTAAGGGTGCGCTGAAGAAGAAGAATGTTTACCTCGTGAAGGATCACAAGTTTATGCCAAGATTCTTCAAGCAGCCAACGTTCTGCTCCCACTGCAAGGATTTCATATGGTACGTAGTTACACTATAGGTATTTTATAATTTTATTTCATAGTTCTAAGTGAGGAAATTAAAAATACACTGTTTGTTTACAATGCCGCTCTCAAGACTTGCGGCGAATTCAGTTTCGCGCACAGAGATGATAGATGGCCTGTGCATGCACAGTGTCCAGTCACATGTTTCAAAACTTTTTTAAATTAAGAATACGTACTTTCCAGTCAGATTCTAAATAGAATAGACAATAAAAATACGCACAATGTGATTTCCTGTTCGAATTCTTATTGTTTTTCCGTGTTGTGCTTTTTATTTTTATGGTATACCATTAGAGAAAATGAAATATTTTACGAAAACTTTCCATTTGTAATTTTCATTCATAATATTTTGTAACATGGAAAATAATAGTGTGCATTATGCATTAGTATTAATAATATAAAGAAAATACCTTTGCAAGCAATATTTAAAATTATGAGCTATTTAGGTGCACCCAGTCATGGAATTTTTTTCCTGGTGAAATATTTAATAATATCCAAAAATATGAGAAAAGAAAACATCTTGTTTATTTGAAAATTGACTAATAAATAAAAGTGTTGTAAATTTTTGTAAGAAAAAGTAGAGTATATAATAATACAATAATTTATTTCATATTATCAATATCACAAAATTACAATGTAAAATTCCAATATGTCGAACCTCACTAATATAAACAATAATAGCAAACTATATAACAAAAACAATATTTATTCTGAAAAAGTGTTGAGATAGGATGTCATACATATTATAATGTAGCAAAATCACAATGTCTTTGAAAGAATTCTCTCTACTGTAGAATTCATTTTCCAATAAATAGAGTCTCACTATAAAATTAATTATATGGTATTTTATCGCACTACTATTACAATAGTGTTGTAACTCAAAATATGTGGAATTCAATATTATACCATTTTTGAATGTAAAAATTGTTACTCTACACACCAATAAAATTGTCATTAGAATATTGTAAGAAACCATTAAAATATATCTACTTAACCCACAATGAGACAAATGTGTTGTGAGCTAGTTCTGGACAAAACAGTCCTTACTCAAAAATATGAAAACTTGTTTGCTTTTATTTTCAAATATTGTTAAGATGTCTTATAGATTTCAACCTATATAATATTTTATGGGATCTGAGTGATTTGTTTTTTAGATATTCTGAATAAATTAACTTTTTGAGTTAACACACTATTGTGTCAGTAGTGTTATATATATTTCCCACCCACTGAGCCAGTAACATTTAGCTCAATAATACTTTCAATTTGTCAATAAAAACCTATTTTTATGTCTACGTAAAATAAACAAATCAAACATTTTTTATGTATCCTGTTCAAATTAGTTTTTTATAAGACAATAAAATCTATCTTTTTACTATCCAATTTTAAAATCAGTTTAAAAAATGTTGGCAAAATTACAGTGACATAAAAATTTATATAGTATAGGTTGCAAAGTAGGGACACCATAAGCAGACATTTAATAAAGATGAAAGTAATCAGAAAGAAACTGATGTCAATAGACATTTAAAACATAATAATACTTAATAAAGTATTATTATTCTTTGAAATGTACTGAAACATAACATGAAATAATATAAAACATTTGTAAAAAATTAAATATTTTATAATATTGATATTTTTATTTGGGTCGATTGTTTTATTAAATTACATATAAAATGTCAAGTCTTAAACATTGCTTTCTCTGCCCATAATTTGAGTTTAGAATGCGAAATTGTTCCAAGTCTTTTGTATTTTGTTTTTATATTATTTTCTTGTATCTACTCACAGACCACATATTCTTCCGTGTATCTTCTCCTCCTACGTAATTTATCGTAAATCACAAAAATAGGTGTATGTTTTCATAAATCACTTTATTTTTATGTAGGTTTTTTTTATGATGTCAGGTGATAAGACGAACAAGACATGCGCCTGGTGGAACAACAGTTGCAGCGCCACTCAGAGCTTTAAATCGCAAAGATCTCAGGATTACTCCCACTGCGCCCTGACGGGCGACCCTTTCGACATAAATTGATAAGTCCCATGTGCCTGTAATTTCACCAGCACCCTTACCTTTCAAAACGGGTAAAGTGGCGGTTCTTCTCTGGACGAACTCTTTCATGAGGTCTTTTATTATATTTCTCAGGAAAACTATAAGGCATGAAAAATAATAAGTACGTATCAAATTTAATTACAATGCCTCAAGAATCGTAGGTATTGCCCTAATTTTAGTCCTATCGATACATTAAAACCTTCCCGTGTAAATTAGTGAATTTGGGCTTACGATTCTTTAGATTTAGCAGGGATCGACATGTTATGTAAACAATGAGGTCGCATCCCTCATGGAAGAATGGCATGAGTTAATTTACGTCAAAAATGTTTATTGCTCCATTGGATACAGAAAAATATAACAAAAAAAATAAAAATATAACCCACATCCTCTCCAATTCTTGTGAGTTACAAGAATTGGAGAGGATGTGGGTTATATTTTTCGTGGTATATATATTTCCGCAACATGACATGGTAGCGCCAATTTTACGTGTGATGGGCGCAGGATCTTAGTATCCTATTAGTATATGTGTATACACTGTATACCCCATAATGGAATACAAAATTTTTCATAATTTTCTTTCCAAGACATGTTTTTCGTCTATCTGCACAGTTTGTAGATATCTAGATAGTGGAACTGGTCACTTATCGTCAATATTGAGATTTGAAAAAAAAAATTCTACCACTATGTATCACTCACTTCTTTTATATTCTTGAAAGTGATAAGTTATACTACGTTATTTCCACAAATTGTCAATTATATGATAACAATATGAATGTGGTGACTTAAATGAAAAAAAAGATCGTATTCAATCTTTGTACAACTATTGAAGCAAAAGGTAACATTTTGGCAGAAAATGTACATGTTTTTCTAATTCCCACTAACTAATATACGATATCTCCATTAAGCTATAATTGTATCTATGTCAATCCGCACTATAAAACTGAGCCAAAGTGTGAAAACGAGATTATGAAATCAGAATTACTGAGGTATTTCAACGATCTATTGGCTAAAATTAGACGACGCTAGGTGCTTTATTTATGACGTTATTTCTGCTACTGTGAATGTTGTAAAAAAACGTGTTACTCTAGTGGCATGAATATATTTAAAACGATAAATAAGTCGACGTGAACGACAGACTTCGTGCGATTTGCGAACTTTTTACATTCAAATTAGCAATGTATTTTTTCGTAAAAAACACGGGAACGCATACTACCGCGAACCCACCAGCGACCGCCACCGGCCTTAGGAGATTACTTAACGAATTTCCCGATACGCTCTATGCTGATGATGTAACGAAACTCTCCACCAGGACCCCCAAGCCAATCCCCCAGGGGATCTGGATTGGGATTGGGGGAGGGATGTTGGTGAACTCAGCAGTTCATCAGAATCCCCTTTATAAATAAATAAAAAATAAAATTCTTTTATTTCAGACAACGACTTCCATAATTTGTTAGTAATAATAATAATAAGAAAAGTGCTTATAAATTAGTGTAGTAGATTTTTTATGTCTACGAGTACGAAGTGAACTCATTTCTTGCAAAACTTAGACAAAGTTCGTTTTTCCACCATCCCTATTTCTGCCGCCAAGCCGTAATGTGAGCATTACTGCATTCCAGTTTTGAAGGGTACTTGACTTGTCAACTTATGTCTCAGGGCGATGAACGCAGTGGTGTTACCCTCAGATCGTTGCAAAAAGTTCTGAATGGCATTGCAACTGTTATAGTAGTTTCGGACAATCAGTAAGGCATTGCTAAGCCCAGAAATAACATTCTGTTCCTTTCTACATTTTCCGGTTTCGCTGAGAATGGTAAGTTCTGTTTGGAAAGTGTTGTAGTTAACTCGATGAATTTTATTTGGGTTTTTAAAGTATTTAGTACTAGAGACTTACTACATAGAGCTGTTACACACGACGAGTTTTAGCAGGAATGCAAACGCGGGGCTGTAGCAATGCAGTTGCTAATTGTCTACCCTTATACACGCGCGCGATTTTAAGCAGCGATGCAAACGCGATTCAAGCGTGCGACTGCATCGATACAAACGCGCGATTGCATCGCTACACTTGGGAATTAGGCGATTGCATCGATTCAGTCGCGCGTTTGCATCGATGCAATCGCCTATAAATCGCAAGTGTAGCGACGCAACCGCGCATTTCCATTGCTGCTAGAATTCGCTCGTGTAACCACTCGTGTGGCTATTAATGTCACTTGGAATAATAAGTTGCCATCGTGGTTGTCATGTTTATTATACAGTGATGTATTTAGTTCCGTTCTCAATGAACTCATAGAATCGGTCAAAATGAACCGTAGGTACGGTGGCAGTACATAAAATAGGTAAGGTGGCAGTACTTCCCTGGACGAACTCTTTCACAAGGAGTTCTACTGCTGCTAATGTGTGTTTACGTAATCATAGGAATAATATTGTTTGGGTCTTGAATCAATTTACATATTATTGTGTACATTTTGATGTACACGGGGCCTTAGATGGTTAATATATTACAATTATTACAATGATGCCAATAAGTTTGACGACTTACTGAGCGAGACATTGAATTCGTTCCATTATTTCACCAAAAACTAGCACTCTATGAAACGTCTGTTTATTATTTCTAATTAAAAATATCACTATATCTTGGTCTCCACAGTATTACAGAGATTTTTAACTTATTACAATATAATTATTAATAGAAAGATCGTACACTTAGAAAAAAATCCTTCGATCCGGCCGGATTCGAACCGACGTCTCCTAGCAAACCAGGCCTGACGCTATGCCAACTAAGCCACGGAACGAACCAGCAGACCTCTTGAATTTTTCTACGCGCTTGTTGTCGGATCTTTGTATTTGGTTTTCAAGGACTTTTAGCCGTAGCGCCATCTATGAAAAATCTATGAAAGTATTTCGTCACTCAGTTAGGTACCTTTACAGCTAGCAGCCCT